CTTATCATATCCAAAAAAACAAAAAAAAAAAATGGCTATAAGAGTTAGATTGGGGAAATCTTTGATATGACAATTTGTAAAATATTTTACTCAAGTATTTATTCCAAAAAAAGAAAGGAATATTAAAACAGAAATATTGATAACAAGGTTTGTTGAGTTAAATGAATTGAATTAAATAAATTGGTGTAATTTGATGTAATTTCTTGAGGAATCTTTTTGAGTGTATATAAAGAAAAAAAAAGAGGAATAATTTGCTGAAATTTCTTGTTAATTCCTATTAATGGCAAATATTACAATCAATTTCATAAGCATTTCAACATTTTTTAAATTCCAACTTCTACTTTAAAATTATTTTTATAACTTTATGAAATTCATTGTCATCTTTGCCAGTTTTTTTTTTTTTTTTAAATTAACATACCTATAGGTTTCTCTTATTTTTTTTGTTGGTTTTTGAATTTTTTTTTTACATTTGTAATATTTTCAAATATTCATGCATGTAAATTCGGAAGTTTTGATAACTTTTTTTGGCGACAAAGTTTTTCTCTTTTCTAGCATAGTACTACATATTTTAATACTTTTTGTTTGACTGAAAATGCAAAAATATATGATAATTTTCCGGAGAGTAAAAAGTTTGCATTCCACTTTTTTGTCATTTGAAAATTTTGATTCAATCAGATTATGACGACTTGAAGTGATTTAATTAAGATTTAAGTGGAATAACTTCGTATTTTTCCATTAAAATATTCATATTTTATACTTTCACATCCATCACATTAATATATCCATCCTATATGAACCCTAATTTCAAAATAGCTTCTGATATATGAATTAAATCGAACTGGAATTAGTAAAATTTGTTTTTGTAAATTACACATTTGATACAAAAATTAATCATTAATAGACATTAATTGGATGAATTATTTGCTTTTAAATTTGCTGTGACATTTTTAATACAAACATTTTTCAGATGACATATTTGCATGTTAAAATGAGTGTTAAAAATTGATTATCAATGATGCGAAAAGCGATGTTTAAAAGATGATTAGAAGTACCTTATTTTAATGATTGCAATTTTTCCTCCAACTGTTAAATCTCTCATAATTTTCCAACTCTTTTACTTCTTATTTCTTTCTTTTCTATTTTAATCAAAACCACCCACGTGTATTTGTCCTTTTCTGTTTCAAATTTTACTAAATGATTCAATTTCACGATAAGATAAGCCTATCGAACTATTCATTCATTTTCGCTACATTTGTGCCCCAAAAATTTTAACACTGAAATAAAAAGATTTATGATGGAAACTTGTTTGAAAATAGTAACAAAGAGAAGATTGATTGAAATATTTGAAATGAAATACTACTTTTTTAATGAATAAAAACAGTAAAAAATTAAAGGAAATTTTTCTTATTTTTTTTTTTAAATTCACAATAATTTTTTGGCAAGGAATTTTAAAATTTCATAATTTTCACAAACAATTGCATCAAATATTTTCGCTGCAACGAATTAATCATCAAATGATTAATTAACAAATATTCATAAAATAAATAAATTAATTTCTACTATTCAATCAGATTTTCCATAAAATTTCTTTTAAAACTAATTAACCATCTAACAAAAAACACTCATTTGTTAAGACAAAAAGAAAAAAGAAACATTAATAGATTAGTTTTTACGATTAAATCGGATTTATCATAAAATTGCGTTTAATAAATTTTCAAAATATATTTTTTCTTGTGATAGTCTCTTTTCTTAAATGATAATTAATAAAACTTCGTAAGTTTTGCCAATTTTTTTAAATTTCACTTCAACCATTTCTGACTAACTGTATGTTGTAGTTTTTTCTTTTTTTTAAACAAAACTTCATTTAAAATAAACTTATTGTTCAAGAAAGTTCTTTATTAAATCCTTATCTATGCATAATTGAAAAATCGTTTTTCCAATAAATTATTGGAATAATTCGAATTTTTATGTAATTAAGTTTAAATTATCAATTTGCCAGATGGTACTCATATGCCGCCTTTCTGTTTATTATCTATATTGGAATTTAATTTTAATTATCATCTAAATATTTCTTACAAGTTAATTCATTTCTTTTTTTTTTTTTTTTTGGCGAACATTTGTGGTACTGGAATAAATAATTTTTCAATCATCCATAAAAGATGTAAATTATTATGTTTAGCATGCTAATGGCCACAGCATTGCAAGCCAAATAAGGCTTACAAGCCTTTATTTTCAATTCGTCTCATTTGAATTTACAATAACATTTCCTCGCTTTAAAATCAAAAAAAAATGCACATTTTTAAATGGAACTATCCATTAAAGAATTATTTTTCCAATGAATTATTGATTTTTATGTGATTAAAATTAAATTAACAATTCCTAGCATATCAGCATATTTTAGTACAATTTTATTGTACATTGATAAGCTTTTGGATGATTGTTGCTGCTCGATTTACCAACAAATCTAAACAAAATGCTACCGATGATAAGGTACAAATTTTAATATGTAATATGAAATTTCTACGAAATGAATTAACTTATTGCTTAGCCTTAGTATTAACAAAATGATATCACAATATTTCAAAAAAAGACATTGTTGGTAATTTTTTTTTTTTTTTTTGCAAGTGTTAGTAATTTATGTAAAACTTATTAATCTCTGAACATTTATTGAATATGTTTTAAATTGTTAATTTCAAATGTTTTGAATTTGACAAATTGTAACTTTGAAATTTAAAAAGTTTTTGCAAACTTTCTAAAAGTTAAAGACTTTTTATTTTTGGGAATCAAAACTTTATTTTCAATTTGTTGAAAGTTTATGATAAAATTTTTGATTGTTACTCAAAGACTTTTTGCGTCTCTATTTTACAGGGAAAACTGAAAAGAAATCGGAAAAAGAATTTAGCACTACAAAAAACATTCACACCTGTACAGTTAATGAATGATAAATTTATGTCACATTCATCATGGAGCAAAGGAAACAGTAGTCAACTTTCCGTTTCCGTTTTTCAAACAAACCCTTACGGATCCGTACCAAATCTTCGTTACATTGGCGTATGCACATACATTCGTCGTTTTCAATCTTTAGTCAAATAATATATAAGTTTAAGCAAAAAGAAATATATAATAATCTTTTCGGCAATCAAAAAATAAAAAAAAAATTAAATATTTTATAAAAAAAATCAAACATTCCTAAAAAGAAAAATTTTCCTAAAATTAAATATTTTATAGATTTCAAAAAAATTTTTTCCATCATACAAAGAAAAAACTTGTGTGATGGAGAAACATTTACATTTTGCTAAATTTCATTTCTAGTATTTAATTTTTTGTCTTTTTTTCAAAATATTTCCTGATGTTTTCAGACAAATAAATGGGGCTTAATTTATCAGCAAACTCTTGCTTTAAAAGTTACATGGAGTAAATTATGCAAAACACCTCATTCTACATGTTGCGGTATTAGTGGTATCATTGGAGGAGTTTTCAATCGTCTAAATGAGGCATTTATAAAATTTTATTCTTTTTTTTGTTCTTTTCTTTTCAAATTTTTACAATGATTTGACAAAAATTTTCACATTTTATTTATAATTTAATAAAAAAATTACTTTTTCTTTAAATATTAACATATTTCATTTGTCATATTCTTTTGCAGAAAAATAAAATACTTCGTGATATCTTTTATAATGCGGCATTTGTTAATGGTATAAGTGAACGTCGTACAATTGCAACATTACATGATCATTCACATTTTATCGTATCATTAATCAGTCAAATTATTCAATCATTTGAGACAGATTCTGATGATATCTTTAAACATATTAATAAAATTGGTTAAATTTTAATTTGTCGATTTTATAAATTAATCAAAAAAAAAAGTGACAAAATTTGAAATCTATCGAAAAACTCTTCATCATATAATAGGAAATATTTATATTTAATCATAGTTCTACTAATTTTTTACTTTAGGTTTATGTCATTTTAATTTAACAAAATATGGTTTTCAACGAAAACTTTGGGATAATTTGGGTGAAGAATTGATCGATGCTTTGGTTGTACAGGTCAATTTGAATTTTCAACTCTTTGTTATTGAATATTAAATCAAAAGAATTGAATTTGTTTTTACAAACTTTGTTAAATTATAAAAAATTTAAAATCAGGTTAAAATTTTATTTTTTTTTTTCGTAGAAGAGAAAAAAAACTGAAATTTATTATTGTTTCAAAGCATAACGTGCAAAAATACGATGCAAATTTACGTGAACTTTTCGCTTCATACTAAGCACGAGTTAAGTTTTACGATTTCAAATAAACTTTGCATTTCTTTTTATTTTGAAATTTTATTGAAATGATTAATTATATTAATTTCGTATTTCAATGTATTAACAATGACGTTGTTTGAGAAGTAGATGGCGTAAAATTTAACTTCTTCAAAATTTATTTTTTATTTTATAAAATAATTCACTTTTGCATTGAATTTTTAGTTTACAGTAATTTGATGTCTCAGTGAAATTATAAAATGAAAATGATAATTCTTCTTTAAAATTCAGAATTGTATACGTAGTTTTCCTGGTTCATGTCGCGCATGGACGATACTACTTGCCAATCTTATCGATCATTTGTGTGCAGCTACAATAAGTCCTTATTCTACTAGTATTGTCACAAAATCACACAATCGGTCAAAGTTGACCTCAGTTGCTATCTACAAATCAATTTCAAATTGACGACAAATGCAACAAACTGAAATCATAACCTCATATTCAATGTTATCAAATTGTTAGTGAATAATGAAATAACTTGAAAAAATGAGTAAGGTGGAACGATTTCAAAATTATGGTAATCAGATAAAATGAATAACAATGATTCATGAAACTCAGTCGTAAGCTTTGATCATTTTATAAGCCAACGAAAATATTTGATCATTTTATAAGACGACGAAAATATTTGTTCATAAGCTTTGATCATTTCTGATAAACTTTTTATTAATCATAAATGAAATTCACTGTTTCTCCGTTAACTCAACAAATCCCTTCTTCCCCTAATTTTAATTTTATTCTCTCCAAATTTAATTTTTCAATGTTTGTATTAGTATTATAAAATGAATTATTAAGAGATAAATTCTGCATTTAATTTTAATTTGCTTATTTTTCAATGTAATAGAAGGAAAAAAACTACTGAAATTATTTTATTGTTTAAAAATTGTTTAACAAACAAAAAATTAGGTCAATTATATTGTTAAAACGCTTTATGTTCATTACATAGTTCATCGTTGTTTTATTTTGCATAATTAAATAACACTATCATAAGTAATGATTACTTTCTCCTTTCAATGAAAAATTATTACGCCATATGTTAAAGGTCATTTCAAGATATTTGTACAGAAAAAAAGTAAAGAAAAAAAAGAATTGCAATGATACACATCAAAGTACTGCAAACAAAATGACTAGAAAAAGGGAATAAATTATCAATGGATGATCATTTTCACCTGATAGTTTCATTTATTAATTGTAATAAATTATCATTATAAAAATGAAGTATCAAAAAAAAAAAAAACTCGTCTTAATGCTTATCCTTGCCAAATAAACAGTAAAAAAGTAATACGATAATACATATCATGTTGTATGAGCAGAGAAAAATGCATTTGAGCATTTTAATAATTGCATCAGAAATGATTCTCAAATAGGAAATTTTTCGATTATTTTCGATGAATAAAATTTATTCTTTCTGAAGGAAAAAACAAATTATTTTAAATATCCAAAATGAGCTTACGAATACTTATAGAATAAATATTAAAATTAAAAATTATCTTGTAAATTTTTCAACGACATTTCGAATTCTTTTATCGATAAGCAATTTCTAAATACTAATTGATATTAAGAGGAAAAATAAAAGAAAAGTGCAATTGTATGGCTATTTTACATGAATTTATAAATATTCTAATAAATTCGGATTATTCCTCTTATTATTAATCATCTAGAATTTTGTTGTTATATAAATTCTTCATAATTAACGAATAATCAAATGCATCATCAGATTAACCAAATAGCTTTAAAAAAAAAAAACAAAAAATGTTGTACATGCAACCGGAAAAAGCTACAACCGGAAATAACTAATATTTCAGAATTATATAAAAATTGAATATACGAAACAGAATATTCGCTGAATTAAATTTTCAGGATTGCATAGCTGTACGTGGTGGTGATGGTGTTAATCCAAGAAATTGATATCTTTTCCGTCTAAAATATCAATCGTTACGTATCATAATAAACAAATATAAAATATATTAAATATGGTTGTTATTATTAAATTTATCAATTAATGTTAAAATTGCAACATTCTACCCAAGTGATGATGAAATATATCCCTTTAATATTCCAAGTATTCTTGAAATCTATTTAAATGATTAAGAATAATGCAGTTATCAATAAAGATATCATTTAATATAAGATAACGAGTAGTGTAAGACTAATAATAGGAAAGCGAAGAATATTAAATTCACTTTCAATTCGCTGCATAGTTTAAATTCAAAGTTGTAATTAAGAATTGGAATAATTAAAAATTGTTGAAGATTAAATCACCTCAAGTTAAGTATATGCCACTTAGTGTCTTCAATAACTTGATTTTTCCCATCGGATGATGTTGGCACTTCGATACCATTATTAAAAAGATGTTTTTCACTGGTACTTTTCTTAACTACCTTTGCTGTTCCATCAATATTTCCAGTTTGATCACTTGTTTCAGGATCTTGTATTGAACTTTTCCATATCGACTAAACAAATAATTATCAATAAGATTGATAATGGAGTTCATAAAGTATTCTCATATTTTCTTTGAAAAATGATAACCTCATTAATTGGGAACATTTCTTGACATACAGATCGCCTTCGCAAACGTCGTTGTCTTCGCAATTCTTTTTCTTGGTCAGTATTATTGTTATTATTGCTTTTAGTATTTATCTGAAAATAGTAAATTTAAAAAAGAAGAAGAAAACAATGAACAGTTCTATCGAGACCATCTTATTTCCTATTCATGATTTAAAAAAAGTAAAATAGGAATAAGCTTAAGCAAAATATGATCTGATGAAAAATTTCGTTAGTTGTAATAAAGTGCTAACCTTAACCTTCGAATCATTTAACGTCGTAATAGGAGTAGGTTCATTGTTCCTGCTGTTATGATCATTGGTAAATTGTTTAGCAGAATTTTGAAATTGTAATGGAATTGCATTATCGAATGAAAAACGTTTGGTTCTTTCCAGACGATGAGAATTTTTGGATGTTGTATCAGTAGCGCCACTGCCATTTGCAAATGAATTAAATGTCTGTAAGATAACATTTAAAAATTGTAATGAAATGTTAACTTTGATTTCTGGTTGACTAATTTTGGAAAAGGTGAAATATCATCGAGCTATTGCATGATAAGAAGACTGAAACGTCAAAAGAAACAAAAACATTTCATTATCTGCAAAATGCATCTGTCACTGCTGGATGATAATAATTATGAATCTGTCCAGGTGCCACGAAAAAATGCTAAAGAACTTCCACAATACAAAAAAAAAAAATATGAGGGTTCATTAGTTCATCTGCTATGATGTACTTAGAATGTATCAAGTTAAATCGCAATCATGACTAAGATTTCATTCTCTACAAATTATTCCTCTATGGATATGATTTCTCTGTGATTGTGCATTGGACAGACCATGTGCGCTCAATGGACCTTAGCGCTACATTAATGTGCGCTAACATTCTTCTATTTTTGTAATCGTACATTCTTGCAATCTAATTTTTGTAATTGCAGAATTCTTGCAATCATCGAATTTTTGTAATCGTAAAATTCTTGTAATCATATTCTTGTAATCGTAATTCTTGTAATCGTATTCTTGTAATCGTAATTCATATAATCGTAAAATTTTTGTAATCGTAATTCTTGTAAACTTTGAAAGATACATAAAGCAGCTAATTCTTGTAATCGTAAAATCAATTCTTGAAGGATATGCATAACAGGATAACATTCTTCCTTTCTTTTATTCTCTGGATTGATCTTTGAAATTTATCTTATGGCAATGTTATTGAACATAGCTTAGCTTAACGTGTTAATTTATATTTTGCAATTCTTAATGATTATGCTATGCTAATATTGTTTAATTAACCAAATTTAGAATGGAAACGACTTTGATGTTACATTGTGGAAACTAATTCACTTTACCAGAATGCATTCATTACATCAGGATGATATTAATGAACTTACATTTACAAGATTTTTGAAATGCATCATTAATGAAGCAGATGCTGATTGAACAGTTGAACTGGTTGGTGCCATTGCATGTAACAATGGTTGAAAGGCTGTTTTTGTTGGTGGAATTGTTTGAGGAGTGGTAAATAATGCCCGAGCAACGGGAGGAGTTACGGCTATTTGTGGTGATAATGAAGGTGTTACAGAAGGTAATGCTGAGATTAGAGCTGGTTCTGGTGTTGATACTGTAGTAGATAAACGAACATTGTATGGAGACAAATTAGAATTTGTGGTAACCGGTGTTTGCTTACCATTTTTTGCATCAGTATTATGTACACTGGATCGTGCTGTAATGATAATAAACTGAAAAATATTGAAAATTTTAAATTTTAATTTAGAAAAAAAATATCTCTGTCCATTTACTAAAACATTTTTCTTCATTATTTTTTTCAAAAGGGCAAGAATTTAAATTTCAGACGAATTAAAAAAAAACGAATATGAACAAACAAAGTGGTGGTACAGCTGTTGAACAATGCCTTCCAGTCAGCGGTGAGTATTTACTTCCACTATTATCTGATTTTTCCACGCGCAAACAGTCGACATTTGTCACCGCTTCACCATCACCGTAGGACTCATCAAATGAGCCTGGAAAAAATAAATAGTAATTAAATAGAACAAAAATATAAATTTTGGGAAAAAAACTAAGAAACAAATTAGAATTCATCTTTTTCTTCCTTGACAAAGAAAAAAGTGTTGGTGACAATTTTTTTTTATTAACTAAACTAAAAAACAACGAATATTAGAGATGATTTTAGTAAGTATATAAAATTGAATAAATAATGAGAAAAGAAAAGTAAGGATATTCTGGAATGACCGGAACAAATATCCCCTCTTTTGATTTCCATAAAGATATCTTACAATGGACAGATAAAAACTATTTAATTTTGCCATCTGGATAAGAGATTATTCTTCTTTTTCTTCCCTTTTGTCCATTTCTTCTCATTATTAAATTCGTATGAACCGGAAGAGAATTGAAGATTTCTGGGGCAAAATATTTCTTATAAAATCACGCAAATATCATATACGATTGATAATTATTCTACCAGAGCTTATCATCATGATAAGTTTTTCAGTAATTTCAATTATAATTATAATTATTCTAGAATAATTGTAATTATAATTGAAATTATTGAAAAACGAAAATTCTACTAATTAAAAAGATTGAAATACTTAAAAGTAGCAATTTTCGGTCGTCCCTTAATGATAATATCAATCTCCTATTGCTTTTTTTTCTACTTGTTTCTGGTAATTAATATGGCTTCATTTGTTAGTGAAATAATAATCCCTAAAAAATACACACACACACACTCACACACACACACACACACACACACACATATATATATATAAACATATACATACATACACATAGATACACACATATACATACAGACATACATACCGTGCCATCGACTGATAATTGTTGGTGCTTTCAGATGGCTGCTAGCGCCGGTTTCTGAATCCGCTTGCGCATATGTTTGCTCAGCCACTGACGGCGCATCATTTAGTTTTTTGCTATACCGTTTCCCGTTCGAAAGCTATAAGAATTTTTACGAAATTTAAGGAATGAAAAGAAAAATTTTCAAAGATTGCGAGTAAACATCCTTCAAATCATTTTTCAAAAATAAAAAAGCTAAAAGAAATTTACAATTAAACTAATACATTGAAATAGAATAGCGTAAACAAAAAAAAAGTTGACTGCAGAAATGATAATAATAAGCTATTTTTAAAAAAGCAATTGTCTTTAATGTTTTATATCCTTTTATGACTAAGGTGACAATATTGTTGTGACAATGAATCATCAGACTAATTGATAAGTATGATCCAGGATTGTTGGTGATACTGATAGAATAGGATCGAAAATAAAGTTAAAAAAAAATCATGTTACTATAAGATGATATATTTAAAAAAAGATTAAAAAAACTATCAAACAGATCTCATTATTTCATCATTACTTCATGCATATGGAATAAAAGCTGCATTAATAAGTAGGCAATATATCAGCTGATACAGATCATAGGTTAATCACATATTGGTTAGAACTCATTAGTTTTCACTAAAACAAAAGAAAAAAATCCTAGCAACCTTAAGTTGATGTAAATAAAATATAACAAGAATGTAAAATAAATCAAGCATTAGTGCTTGATGAATAACAAATGATGATGAAATTAGGTTTGATGCTATTTCAAATGTTAATTTTCAGGTTTAAATTATTTCTACGCTTACATTCAAAAATTTTAAATTAAAAAAATCCAAAAATTAAGAAAAAAGGAAAATCTTCCGGAGACTTTCTTTTTCCTTTCGCAATATTAGGATTAAGCAAAAAAAGAAAAGCTTAAGCAAAAAAAAGATAACTTTGACAAACACATCAAACAGAACAAAACCAGCAACTATGCTATTTAATTCTATTTCATACCAAAGCGACAAAGAAATTACAAAATACAATGAGAAAATTTCAGAACTTTTTTTTTCTAACACTTGACAAAAAAAGAAAAATGAATTTCATCAAAAAAAAAATTGAAATAAACGCACTCAAAAATTGATGAAAAAACCTTGCTGTGTCGAAGTGAATTGAATGATCGCTAGAATTAATGTAGGAATACTTACAGAATCAATATAATACTTTCATAATTGAGATATCAGATGAATATGATAAATATATATGATAACATATGTAGAGTTATTTCTAGTATTCTGAATTCCGGAAATATTACCAATATGTAATATAATGTGAGATATGAGAATGAGAATATCTCTTAAATAATTTTACTCCCTAATTCTTTAAAAATTTAAAAAAAAAAAAGTGAATGATTGCAACGATTACTGTTAATGAACGGTTGCTCTTTATGCTTTTTTCAACGGTATTTGGTGGTACCGTCTTATGTCGTTTTTGGTGTGCTCGATTTGATTTCTCCTGGATTGTTTTTGAATTATTAAGCGGTATATGAAATGTTACCTGTAAATAAATAATGCATTATTACAACAAATCAATTTTTCATTTCTAATTAAATCAAATCATTTCAAACAATTTCTACATAAGTAAATTATTTAAAATATTTCTATTCAATATTATCTAATCTATCGATGATAATTATGTGATAATTTTGTGGTTAATTAGAAATTTAATGAGGTTAGAAAAAAACACGAACAAGAAGAAACCTCAACATCGCCGATTTTCTTTTCTGCATTATCAAGTGATGTTTCAATTTGTAGCTTACTAAATATATCAGCAGTACCACTAGTTGATGCCGCAGCAGCTAACCTTGCATTTACTGCATCTATTACGTCAAAATTCACAGCACCATATTTAGGCCTGAAAAATTTCTTTTTTTTAAAATTACATATATAATGAAAGATCAAACATTGAAAGGCTTTTTATGATCAAAGATCAAACATTGATGGGTTCTTTTTAATCGTTTTTATTTTGCATGGTATTAGCATATAAATAAGAAACAAATCAACATATGAAAAATAGGAAGAGAAGATACAATATTAACGGAAGATTTGATAAGGTATCATGTATAGGATTTAATAAACGGTTAACGTTTTTTTTTATTTTAATTACCAAATTATTTAAGAGACGATGAGAAAAAAAAACATTTTTCACTTGGTGAACTGTTTTTCTGATCACTCAGAAATTAAATTTAAAATTCGAGATTTAATATACCTCATGAATTCTTGCCGTTTGTATTTAGGTTTATCGTGTGCATCTCTTTCTGCAGTAGAAGAATGTTTGATATGATGACCAGTTTGATCATGGTCATCATCCTCTTCACCCATTGTAATTGGTGCCTGAGTATCCAATCCTCTAAAATTAAACACGATCGGATTTTGCCTTATTTTGTTTATCGATTGTTATACTTAAATTTGTATAATTTTTGTCGAAAATGCTAAAATGTAACATATGTATTCTTCAAATGATCCATATAATTGTTAAAAAAGCGCTTATGAAAAGAATCTAAAAGCATTCATATGGTATTAGTTTTATGCATGATGAATCGTTTCAATAAAATTGGATAATCTTTTGTTGAATAAATGTGATTTTTCTTTTCTTAAAATCCAACAAGATTGATATCTCAAATATTTGCAAATAATGTCAAAAAAGATTTCACTGAAAGATTTTAAAGAAAATGTTAGATTTTAGTGAATACAATGATAAAAAAAAAATGAAATGTCAATCTAATCGACCAAAGTATATGAATATAGATGATTGCTGAACGAAATATTGATTAATTTTCCAGTAATTCATCTCATAAATCATATTGTCAGTGCCCATAAATGTTGTTTGATAAAATAGAAGAAAAATCACAAGAAAAGGTTAAGATGAAGTACGGCAACTACTATACATCTATGAATTTGGCTGATATGTTTATTAAGTAATATAAAAATATCTCTTGCTATCTGATCTTTGCATGAGTTCCGGATAAGAAGATGAATCGGAAATTGTTTACCTATTCTTATCCTCGATTAAACGATCTTTCAATGCAGTTGTATGTGAACGATTTCGTGTTGGAATTGCACCTGAAAATAATTAAACGTTTTAGATATTACATTTTTCTCTTATACTTCATGCATTACAGTATTATAAGGGAATTAGTTTTTCTCAGTACACATAGATATGATATGTATAACATATACTCTTTATTTTAGAATAATAAATTAATTAATTAAAAGAAAAAGATCAAATTGTTAAAGTGACTTTATGAAATAGAAGAATGAGTTTAAATACCTAAAAAGAATTGCTATATGTTTCTTTTTTTTTTGCAAACATTAAAGTAAAAAAAAAATTGTGAATGCAAATTCCCGGAATTGAATTATATGTGAAAAGTAATAAATAACAAACCATTTAAGCGAACTTTTGGGCCAAGATTTTCATAATTAATTTCCCAATCATACGGTTCTTCAGCACTTATACCATGCCTAAAACATACATTATTAGCTAATCAAAAAAAAAAGGACCAATTAAACTAATTAAAAAAAGCTAATTGTTTTTGTTTTGTTTTTAGATTTCCAAGAAAAGAAAAAAGAAAACGCTTAAAATGATAGTAAATTTTTACCGGGTAATAATATTTCGTAGATTATTTTCCAATAATCCATAACTAGGTTCATCCGCATAACCAAGTGTTTTCAAATATGCCGCAAAGTCATACAATTCTCTTGGACAACCATCTAATAATACATCTAAATTCATTTCTTCCTTCATCCGACCCACTTCTTCTTTATCCTGAAAAAATCTCATAAATTATTAGAACACTAATAACTTTATTAATTAATCTAGGTAATTAATTAATAAATTGAATACAACAAATGTCACCATGTTTAATTTATACTTTAACATATTTCTACCTTTTTTTTGCTTCATTCTAATCATTGCAATTCCTTAATGTTAAATTTGTTAATTTCATTATATTATAAAACATCAGTACTATTTTGGAAACTCATTTTAGGCCAAATATTTCAAAATATTCCCAATATTAATTAAAAATGCTAATTATATTATTAATAGAACGCGATTTATCATGTTATCATGCTTTGCATTTTCATTTCTTTTCAATGAAAATCATTTTTGATTAAGGAAAGAAGAAAAAGGAAAGTAAAAAGGAAATATGAAGCTTAAATAAGCTTAGAGTATTATGCAAATAACATCTGTTCAAAGAGATTATCCATGCCAATTTAGATTCGTTTAATCATTTTGCTGCAATTTGAATGTCAATTTTGAGCAATAATTACCGTAAGCCGAAAATTTATTATTTAGCTGATATATGAGAAAATTGTTAATTTAGAATTATTCAAAGCAGGAAGTACAACAGTACAACAGATTATTCTACTCTAAAGCAACTGATGTTATCAACAATATTACAAGTCTCTATTCTAATACATTAAGTTGTCACATCATTTGTATAATAATGATATCATTTTGATAATCATTAATAGATGATAGAAAATATCACTATTTTCATTTTACTAATCAAATCTATTTTAATTAATAAATTTGTAAAATTTGAATGAATTAAATTTGGTTTTATTAAAGAATAAAAAAGATAGAATGAATTCAAAAATGATTGAAATATAATTCGTTCCCTCTTCTTACTAACATAATTCATTATGACAAGAGATATATCATTATTTCCCTCTCTCTCCACCTTTGTTCATATTTGCTCTGATTAATATATTTATGAAATTTGAATAAATTGATGAATACAAGTTTATTATGGTTTTCATATTTTATTCATACATTCAACTTTCGTCTGATATTTTCTTTATTTCTGCAGGTTTGTTTTTTTTTCACCTTCTTCTTCATCTTTCTTTTATTCCATCTCATTCTTCATTTTCCTGTCATATTTTAGTTGTTTATTTGAGATGGAGTAGTGATTATTTTTGTCACAAATCAGATGATTTTACATCAGCTGATCTGAAATTTCTAGATCAGCTGATATAAATCAAAGCTTGTTTACACAATTATAATTGAAATAAATGCATAAACATCAAACTATGAAATTATTTTTCACCTTTTCCTTTATCAAATAATCTATTTATCAATAAATTATTTGATAATTTAAAACGAAAAACAATTTTTCCTTTTTTTTAGCTTATAAAGAATAATTATCAAAATTTATCAAAATACTAAGGGATGAAAATTTGGAAGAAAAAAAGATGAAGAATTGATGAATGAAAAATTAGTTACGAAATTACTGAACAGCTGTATTTTCGTTTTCTATTCAACCAAACAATTTTTTCACCTGATATTTAATTCTTTCCCTTTTTTTTTTNTTTTTTTGAAAAGAAGAGAAGCAGTATTTACTTTAAAATATTAGTCGTTTGGTTT